ACCGTGTCCCCCAAGTCCCACCATACTGGTATATTTCCATGGAGGGGGATTTGTGGTTGGCGACCTAAGAAGCCACGATACCGTGGTGAAGACATTAGCCGAGTGAGTATGATTCTTGTAATAAAGAACTATAAAAAGATTCAGCTGACAAATTGGTATATCTCTTATGTTTAATCATTTATCAATAAAATTGTAGTGTAAACAGTTTTGGTTTGTCAAATAACGTTGACGATCATAATTTTGATCTACTAGTAGTTATAATTTTCAAGCCAAAGCCATTTCCGCCATAGATTCTGTTTTCTTCTAAGCTTTTTATTAATCCCAGCACAACGGGGTGCATAGTTGTCAACGTGAACTACCGCCTGGCTCCTGAGCACAAGTTTCCTGCTGGAATTGATGATTCTGTAACAGCGGTCAAGTGGGTTATGGCCAACAAGGAAAAGCTTGGTGAGAGAGCAATGCGTTAAGTTTTCAAAAAGCTATCAGTGCATTCAATTCCAAGTGCCGAATTTGTATTGTTTAAAATTGTTTTAAAAACAATTAATGGAGCTATTTAGCAATTTTAAATAATTCAGTAGGTATAATAGGTTCCTCTTGACTATTTTGGGAATAGGAATTTTAAGCTCTGAATTATATATTTCAACAATATCAGTGTAATCACTGACAGTTCGATTTGGAGTTTTTCTTTCAATACAACAGCATCTATCTCTAAATGTAGGGAAAATTTCTCAAAAATCCATGTTATCCTTTCATGTAATTTTCTTTGGGGCGGCAGTGTAACCAGTAAAGTTGGCGTCATAGGTGACAGTGCCGGAGGACATCTAGCGGCGACCATAGCTCATGAGGTGCCGGGGGTGGCACTACAGGTGTGATCAGTTTGACCTCCTCCTTTACAATTAGATGTTGAAATAAACAGCGTTGCCTGATTGATCACACTTTTTCCCTTTTCTCAAACAACAGAGTCCGCCACTACCGGTATTCTGTTTGCCAGCGTCTATGTTCTCGCTGTCTTCACCTTGCATCAACTTAAGCAGTATTTCAATATTTCAATTAATTTACGTTCAGATTTTGATCGCCCCGGTTACTGATTGGCGGATGAAGACAGACTCGTACAAGCGTTACAGTGAGGGATACTTCATGTCAGCTAAAGAAATGGATTGGTACTTATTTCAGTTGCCCACTGAATAGTTTGATACATTATCTTAAATCATGGAGGTCTAACAATGGCGGATCTTGAATTTGCTAAAGAGGTGGGGTGGTACAATATAAAACGCCCCCCTCCCCGCGCCCTGAACCCGCCATTGTGTATACAAGTTACCACAACCATAACGATGTGTTAAATTAATGTAACTTACCCGTAAATGTAAATTCCCCTTTATGTATGGTAATAAAAGTTAGTCATTTTCATTCTTGTATGCGTTTATTTATTTTTATTTGATTGTTTTCATTTTTCGAAAAAAATATCTTGCACAGTACAAGTCTAGATCTAGAGAAACTTACAAAACTACTTCTACTTCAGGTTTGGTTCGAAGTTTTTTACGTCTGATGCTGAACGTATTAATCCCAGGGCCTCCCCGTTATTGAGGTCTGAGTTCCAGAATCTACCTCCTGCTCTGTACATTGCCGCCAGTCACGACGTGTTAGTGGACGAAGGGAAAGGTATATGAAAACGAAAAAAGTTAAACCTATCATAATTTTCATTGTCTGTGTTAACTCATTTAATACAGTGATCTTTTTAGCATAACCACATTTGTCAAATTTAGCAAAAAGAGCTGTATATCATCACAAGGAATTAGATAGATTCAAGAAAAATTCAAAATTCTGTTTTTTCAGCATACGCAGAAAAACTGAAGGGAGCTGGTGTACATACGGAAACTTTAATACTAGAGGGAGTGGTGCATGGATATATTTTATTCCCACGTGAGTGAAACCTTCGCTCCTTCCCTTCTCTCTCTCTCTCTCTCTCTCTCTCTCTCTCTCGTATATTCAATTTTTTGTGTGTCTGATATATCAAACTTGTTTCATTTTTTCCAGATGTCTGCAAAGAAGCAAACGATACTACTTTGAAGAAAATTGACAACTTTGTTAAAACCTATGGACGTTAAACTATGTTGCTACTCCTAGACAAATTCTCCTCTTGCAAATAGAGAATTAAAAATGGGCATTTTTAAAGCAAAGATGACCTCCGAAGTACACGTGCCATTGGACTTTCGATCGTCTTCTAACAACTTACACTGATAGTTAATTCATTACTGTCTTTGATGATTTTTGCACTTTGGAGACGTATTACAATTTATAAATGATATATTCAGAGCAAATGTGCATCAGTCTGTCAACCATAGTGTCTTGTTTCTCAGATATTTGGTTCAAGTTGTTTAGTTTTCCCTTTTTGTATTTTAATTAACCCATTCCTTTCCGTTAACAGCTATATACATGTTTGGTCCACAAAACCTGTCACAGCATCATTAACCTGTTAAAGGAATGACCTGCGACATATATAAAGAGACTATACGCGGTGAAAGCACGCATACATTTGTTAATCTTTTCGTTGAGGGCTTCATACAGACCATGACATACTTTACGGTTATTAACGTACTAAATGCAAGGAACAACGTAAGTCATTATATATTCTACCCACGGTTATGTTATTCATGTACGTATATTTTAGTGTCGAGTGGATATGCAAACTCAGTGTAATTCTCGTATAACGCTATCAAGGAAATAATTCCGTATTTTTATATAGCTCAGTGCCTGTTAATTTCACATAGTGGAGAACTTCAAAGTTATTAAGTTTATTAAAATATCTCACCAAAACCCCTCTAAAACCAAGAGATACCACAGGGTCTTCGTCAACCCAGAGGCAGTTTAATAAAGATAATCGGAGGGTACACTTATTACTAAACATAAAAAAAATAATAAACTAGAAATAAAATTTTACTGGAAACTTTTCTACACCGATACCGCCTGGTGGCGTACCTGACACCACTGCTTCAAGAGGGTCAGCAACTCTACCCGATTGATCGACAAAAAGAGCCCAGCCATCGAGAAAAACCCGGGGAGTTCTACTTTTTTCTAAATCTCTGGCGACAGAAAGTGATAAATCTATTTGTGTAAATCATTGGATTTTTTAAATTCATGCCTTGCTAGTATGGGGTTTTTTCAAATTCAGAAACGAAAGTTTTAGCCTATTTTAGTAAGTAAAGTTTTAATGACAACAGCCCTTTTGGATAATATTCGCACATTATAAATACTAACAAAAACAAGACTGCTCAATAGGCGTAACGATGAACGTTTATTTTACTGGCACGTTTTGTCCTCAATCTCAAGTACATTTTTTTTCACAATGCCTAATAACGAAGGTTTCGCAAATTACTCTCTATGAGAAAACCATTTTGATGTGTTTCGTGTTAAGCATTTGACTGTGCCCTGTCACCATATCGTCATGCATTGTTATGGATGTATTTGAATTGAGGAATTTGTTAATGGCTTAAATATGACAAATAAAACTTGAAAAGCACTCAGAGAGCACAGACCTCCGCCAAGGCAGCAAAGTCTTATCAATGCCGTGTCACCCCTAAAGTTTCGATATTTTTGATTATTGATTGATTATTGATTCGGATCAACACCAAAAACTAATCATTTTTTCCTTGGCCTACTTCTGACAGTTCCTGAAAATTTCATCAAAATAAAAATCTACTCACCGGTATTCCCGACTGTGACTCCAAGAACAGAATAAACAGGTGGACACGTGGTGCAAGCCACGCCCATTTCAAATGACCTACCTGCGACGTGGTTAAAAAAACACAGAATTAAGGCTAGTATATGTACACATACAATTCATAGCTGTCGTTATTAGCGCATGTTCCTCGAGAGATTTCTCCGTGCGCATTCACCGTGCACAAGGAATTTATGTGCCATTCTTTACAAGCGCGTCCTTTACTGAATATTGAGAGGTTTGAATTGAACCCAATTTCCTGCTCATTATATGTTTTAATTTTATCAGATTAATTTGCAGCCTAGAGCTCAGTCGCAACACGTTGGGATCACATGTTTCAAATACCACTTTTTTTTTCATTCTGTAATATACTGAAGCAGCGACAAGGGAGCCACGCTGTGTTTATTAATTGCGATCCTGGAAGATCAGAAGAGACGCCCTGTCTCCTCCCAAATGCATATATTATATCTCAATCAGAATTTTACGTTTACATTATACTTATCGATGGACATTTTTTAATATTCTTATATTGCTTCCTAAAATACAACATACATTCCGTTAAGACACAGGGAAATACGTAAAGGCAAAAACTTTCTTATCAACCGTCACGATAAGCTATGTATTATCTGACATTTAACAACATATCCTGTTCTTATTCCAAAATCATATCAAAAACATTTCCCTATCACGTTTAACTGGTATTTTATCATTTCCAGAATATTAAATTTGGCCCTAATAGTAATAAGTGAGATAATTTAAACCATGAACTTATCGTTAGGCCGCATGTGCCTGTTCAGTTGCATTGCTTGCGAAAATTGCGAGTCGCACATCAGTCAGTAAAACATTTATCTTAAATTTTCTTTTTACTTCTTCTTACCAACGGCAAGGCAGTATCTATCACTCCGTTCCATGTACGTTTTGTAATGCATTTACTTTACATCGATTCATTAGATCATGAAAAATTTACCTTTGATAGCGTCCTCAAACTGTATGATGTAATTTTAATGGCAAGAGAACGTTATCTACGCACACTCGAATAGAATTGCTAGCACGAAAAGAAATTTATTCGATTAAATTTAGTCAGTATGTAAACTACAAGCTCGCGTATTGTAGTCCTATAAGAAAGTCACTGACTGTTATTACTTTGGAATATCATATAAAATGAAAAAACGAAAATTCTAATTTAAGCCTTGCAAAGTATAATTATATAATCACTATTTTCCGCACAACAAAATCGTATTTTCACGTTCAAATACTAAAAAGCCTTATTTGTGCATTATACGACGCAAACAGCATCCTGACGTTAAATTCTTATGAGGCAGTCATCAAATACCTTCTTTTCTAAAACTGACAAAGGTATCCAGTTGAAGCGGTTACAAAGATTTCATGCCATAAATGTTGCCTGCGAAAGCAATGTCACAATGTAAATTCTAGCAGCATCAGTGTTCATGCCGTTGATTCATTTTTCTGTTTACGTTTTGGACGGAGGTCAAACCTCGAAAACCTCTCTTTCGGCTGCTTGGGACCTGGCTTCGGTGCTGGTTTGACGTGTATCATTTTGAGTTCTGGGCGTGGTATTGCTCCCACTGGCGCCATCAAGCTAGTTAACATTGCCATTCCTGACGTTCTGATTTCGTCCTTCGGTTCAACGCCAGATAGTGTAGCGGTGGGTTCAAAGGACTGCAGCACGCCGTTTTCCGTCTGGGCATCTTCCGATGGCCCAAGGGCTGTACTACAGTTATCAGTGTTGTCTTGGTCTTCCTCTGGTTCTTCTTCAGTTTCCAAATCCTGTACTTCTCCTGGTACGATATAAACAGCGTGTCTGTCAGGCTCCTGCAGCTGTGAGGGCATGTCAGTGTTAGTCTCGACAGGGCTGATTGATTTGTCCGTCTCATCTTGCCAGCGCATTACCTCGTTTAGTTCTATCGTGTCAGCGGTTGGGTTTTCCCTGTGGAGACAAATGCAACTAACATAAATGACTGATCTATCAGAAAAGAAGAATGAATGGCAGTTTCGCTGAGATTTGGCTGTATATCTGTACGTAAACCCAGCCTTTTCAATACAGGACATCTTGTTCGCTTTTTTATGACATTAACAGGCTTTCGTATTGTTTCACTTTTTAAAAATCTTATTGGAAATATACCAATAACCTGGCACTGCACTGACCTTACAGGTATCACCTTGACCTTAGATGTCCATTTCTTACTCAACCTGTAACCACCGGCCAATAATAAAACCGCAGCCAGGAGCAAGAAGACACACGTCACGGGCAGTTTCCAGGGGCTTAAAACACAGTAGTAATGGTCTTCCTCATCTATACAGTCATAAAACGTTGGGCAGCGGCATTTGGTGCCCTTTTCCATCTCTGTTTCACACCTTTCTCCACTGTATCCTGCATCGCACACGCATTCGTAACCATCAAATGAAGAAGCACGGTCGAAACTGGTGCAATTTGCGTCCTGACCAAGACCTACGCATTGTCCATACTCACAAGGATTGGCGAGTACGAATATGTGGAATGATACCAATGGAGCGTACGGTGACCGTTTCCTTCCATCCTTCCCAGTTACATTGAACGCTACTTCGCCATGGAAATGTCGAGAAGAGTTAATATAAACTTTGCGTACCTTAACACTGCCAAGGGTACCTAAAGTTTGGAAGACCTGTTCCTCAGGTGCGTTTTTGTTAATGTCCTGCATCACGAGAGTATAGTTTTCGGCCATGGGATGATTAATGATGAACTGGAGTTGCTCATTCTTGTCAGGATCAGTTAGGATGAGATCTCCTACATGTTTCAGGTCAGTTTTTCCTTCAACAGCAATGTTATATGTGGTCGACACCAGGAACTGTGTTGCAGAATTGTGACCAAGATTTAAAAATGATACCACGGCAGGGTCATTGGTGGCATTAACATGTAGTTTCACCTCTGACGTTACAACGTAGGGGCGAAAGTTTTTCACGCTCGGTGGCACTTCCTTCATTTTAACAGTTACGGTATCAAGGCCATTGAAGTCTTTTTCGGGTATATACATCAGCAAACCTTCGGCAGAAATATTAGCGTACCCATGTCGTGGTGGCCTGACGACTTCAAAATAAACCTGATCATTTTCCGAATCAGAAAACTCCAGCTGCTTCTGAAAGTCTTTCTGATCTTCCATAAGGTAAAGCTCTGTCGTAACTAGTTTAGGTGGGTTATTCTCAATGCCTGGGCTCATAATAACCACGGCAAACTGTGTGGGTGCAATCTCAGTACCAGTGGATCTCTTGCGACGTGCAGTGCGTCCTGGTTGGTTAAGTGAACATACCTGAATAGAAAAAACACATAATATGAATATTTCAAAATGTGACCTTTTACATGACAAATTAAAACAGTGGCGGACACCTTAGATTTTGACCCCTCTTTCGAACCGGAAACAAGCAGAAATGAAAAAATTAAGATTCTGAGCTATTGGTATCAGCTATAAAACTTTTGCCTTATGAGGGTACAGTCAAACCATTTGGGGCATCAGCCCATAGACTAGTTGTTAAAAATACTTATATAATCCAGCGTACCCGAGCACTGATGGTATTTTTGGAGTAGCTCACTCTTTGATCAATATCACAGTCTTCATTCACCTGATGCCATCTCCGGGTTTCTGAAATAGTAAAAAACAAAAACTGAACTTACTAAGCAACTGTTTGCTAAACCAATAATAAATACAGTGATCACCAGAAAAGCAGGTTCACAATTTGCAAAGAAAATCAGATTCTACTCCTTTTGTGCAACAAGGCTGTTGTGGCATGCTTAGTGGCATGCTGTAGTTTATTCTATAAGCGCCGTTATATTTTCATAATCCACATTTGATTATTAATTTACCTGTGTTCCAATATATCAACACTGGCTCTAGCCCCTGTTGTACTGAGTCTGGCTTAAAAGAAGCTTCCACTTCCAGGTTGTCAGTGAGAACTGCATGGCCTACTGGAGACACAAAGAAAGAGGTGTCCGTCGTCCCACGAAACCTAACACCAGAAAAAGAATAGCAGAGGCAAACACAGTTGCTGGTAATCGAAATATATACTAGTTTTAAATAAAGAAGAGTAACAAGTCTTCCGTGGTTCTGTTTAATAGACATTTGCATCGTGTGACGTTGGAATAGTTGTCTGTAAATAAGAAATCCTACCAAAGAATGTTGTACACATTAAATTTAAACATTTACAACTTACGCAGATCAAGTAAAGACTGTGCAAAAATTGAACTCACCTTTTAAATAGCGTCCTAGAGACCTCGTTGTTGGTGTTAACAGGGTCTTGAATGTAACTGGAGAAGGTTGAGGATGCTGCACTTCCGTAGTGGACCTGAACGTCGTCCACTGACAGCAGACCCGCTAAGACACCGCCATTTTCCCCTAGAACAGAAACAAATAATCGTCTGTTTCACATTTGATAAAATATTTATTTAAGGCTGAAAAAAGCCACCAATGGCACCTCTCTACTCTTGTTGTGTTACCTTAATAAAATTTCGTGTTGATTTATTATTATCTACGTAATATTGTACCTTTAACGTATACATTTACGTCCCCTTCAGCGACGGCTTGGTTGTTGCTTCCTGTAAAAGATGTACACTTGGATATATTCAACATATTACATGTACACTAATGCTCCTCGGAAAAAGTTTTCATTATACAAACTCCGAAGAATATATGACTACAAAATGAGAAATAACTATTCACATCCTAACCATGCGGCTGCATGCAATTGTAAAGCATGACATTTTTTATTTGCAGTTTAAAACAAATTAGATGAAAACGACAAAAATACCCAGCTGGAGTGCATTATCCGACGTCTCTTTGGTAACGGACACCTCTTTGCTAAGAACCAAGTTTACTCTTTCTTGGTTGAGCACGGATAAGGAATCTTTTGGTCCTGCACGTAAATGAAACAAATTTTTAGACATGAAGGTTATATGTGTTACTTCCCTGGCCAATGAAAAAAAGGCCAAGTAGATCAGAAGCAGCAGGATGGCGGACCGGTTTACTATCATCTATTGTGAAAAGCGAATTAAGAATGAGATACGACGTGTATACAGTCTGATAAGAGTTACACTAATACTAATACATAAAGAAAAGTAGGATGACAAAGCGTTAAAAATTATAAAAATTATAAAAACTCTAAAATATGATTGTGAAAAATAAAAGAAAATCCAATGCAAGTGAATGAGCTACAAAGTACATTTATCAATTTTAATGTGAACAAGTGGTTACTAATTGAACAAAAATTAAATCTGATCAAGTTCGACCATATCAGCGACTTGTTCATCATTTGCTTTTATGGGTTTCCTTCGAGTGAAAAGAAAACAAACCAACACATTACCCATTACGGACAGAAATTCTCGTTTCCCCTCTTCTGGTCAATATGAATGAGGATGTCAAATTACTTTGGAATATTATAACCAGGAGACTCTTTGACCACTTACGTTTAATACAAGATGTAATATTGGCCACAGAAGACGACTTGTGTGCCTTGCTGGTGGCAATTAAACTTTGGTAAAGACATCTCCCAGGTTCCATAGAGAAAAAGCTCTCCTGTCTGAGGTCTTCGGTACTCTTGTCAGACGCACTGTGATTGGCCATGGCAGAAATGCTCATACTAGCATCAACATTATCCATCACCAACTTTCCGTCAGATATGGCAATTTTTGTTGAATTGGTGACTCCAATTTTTGACAGAGGGAATATATCACTATCGCCGTCCGCCGAACCTATTTGCCATTCTGAAAGAGAACGCGTACCTTGTGTATGTTAATTACCGTTTATATAATTTCTATAAACTTGATTTATCTATCAAACACGATTTCATTACAGCTCTTTTTTTTTTTTTTTTTTTTTTGA